GTTTTCAAATTTGTGTTTTTCAGATACACATCAAAACTTCACACAGACAAACACACACACAAAACAACAAAATATGTCAAATTACATGCACGTCTCATTCATTTTCTGAGAATTTCACCACTTTTAGTTTTCATGGAAAATAACTTTGTCAGGTCAGTGAACAGCTGCCACATAAGTACAAATCTAAATCATACATGTGTATTATAGAAAAAAGCACAAACCGTTGTGCTGTTAGTTCATAATAAATGGGTAGGGGTGCATAGTCAGTAAAAGTCACCAAGGCTCTGCAGAGCTCCAAACCTCCTCTGCCACAGACAGAAGCATCAAAAATGTGCGCTGGGAGCTTCATGGCATGATCTCTACAGCCACACAAATCTACATGTATGTGGCCAAGAACCTCAGTCCATGTAGGGCATCGTAGCACAGTTTACTTGTGTCAGCTAGTGGGAGGGCAGAGAGGGCAGCCTTTACATTGTTTTATTGTAGAGTGACAGGAACTGCCTATGAGCTTCTAATCAGGCAGAAGTATTGACAGAAAATATATCAAAGCAAATACATTGATGAAAATCAAAGAAAATATTTATGTGATGTTCCATTTTCCTGAGAGCTGATTGGCTGTGATGACTCCTTCAAGTACTACATGCTACTTTGTCCTGCTAGTTAAGCCTGCTGTCTGTTCTCAGGCCTCCTCCTGCTTCACTGGCATAAATCCATCACCAGAGGGCTCCACTGACCTGCCTGCTGACATCAGAGCAAACCCCTGTGTCATGTGACCTGGCAAAGCTGGACTCGGACCTGGCCCAGGCAAGTTCAAAGGCAGCTGTGGTAGAGAGAGCAGGGAGTATAGGCTGTGTCCCAATTCAGGGTCTGCAGCCTTAACGGTCCACAAGGGCCGCGTACTCAAAGACCACTGAGGCCGGAAGTGCGAGGCTTCTGAAATGGGACGGCCTAGCCTTCGTCGCGCTGCCCAGGTTGCCTAGCAACCATGACACTAACAGCTGGAAACGTTTCATACAGCTTTGTTTGACAGAAATGAAGAAAATATTTTGTTTGTTTCTACACGAGCTTTGATTTAATAAGTATCTGAGGCTGAGACCACAGGACTGTGAAACATGATTGTTGGGCTTCATTTCTGTGCTGAACAGTTATTTTAAGATTAGCTCGTAAATAACAATTAGCTCATGTTGTTCATGAGACTAAAGTCATCTTACTTTGGTAATGTAAATACAATATGGCCAATATAAAAAGTTATCATTTCAATCATTATTAGTTATTACATAACATTAGTTATTAATCTTCTCTGTGTATATAAATGGTAAATGGTCTATATTTGTATAGCTTTACTTGGTCCTAAGGACCCCAAAGCGCTTTACACAATCATCACACTGGTGATGGCAGCTACAGTGTAGCCACAGCCGCCCTGGGGCGACACTGACAGAAGCGAGTGTCTGGCAGCCAGTGTCTAATATATAACTGTGTTATATATAAGAGAGAAATATTGTTCTTTTAATATGTTTGCATTACTAAATTTGTCTCAGTGCTTACTTTAAAAATAAAATCATCACATTCTCTGATTAAGCTCAGCTATTGAACGGC